GTTATCTTTTTCGTCGTACCCTTTTCTTGGTGTGTTCACAGTTCACCCCTATTTACTTGTTCCTTGGAATTTCGTGCAGATTTTTAGTATGAGGATGTGGAACTATGGGCTTCATGTTGCAGATGCATTAACAGAACTCATAGTGTCCCTCGTATGTGCTACCTACTTCCCTGCCTTTTTTTATAAGTTCATGTCTTTACCTTTTCTTATAAAGTATTTTCCATTTATTGCAGGCCATTTCGAATGGGAAGTATCTTGATTTATGTCTTCGCATGCTTGTCAGCAATTTCACCCCACCGCCTTATTTCTTGGATAAACTAAAACTGCCACGCGGTCTTGAGAGGAAGGACCAAGTTCTTTCTCGGGTGCACTCGGCTTTCAAAAAGATAGCTGATTATGTACCTCTTGCTCCCTTGAGATTATTGACCGTAGTTCTCCAAGGAATGCCAACAATTTATCACAAGGACCGAGTAAGTTGAATTTGCTCAGTAGGGAATTTAGATGTCCTTTTATCATCAAATTTTTATGTATTTTTCTGTTCTGGTCGGAGTATTTACCGTCTTTAAAAGTCAATGTTGTTATGCTTTGTACTTATTCAATCAATACTAGTCCCCAGATGGATGACAATGTATGACACCATTGATCTTCTGCTAGATGTCTGTTTGGGTTGGTTTTAGTGAAGTTCTTCGATGCAATTTCCTGAACAATTATATCATGCATTCTGTTGTTTTGTGCCTGCAACTGCCTGCTTTTATTATTGAAATTGGTTAAGAACATTGAATCTGAAGCTTATACCATTGTCCTTGTAGGCGGTTGTGATTTACATGGAGAACATGTTAAAATTAGAGAGTGGTGAAATTGGAGAACTTGTTGGAAGCACAATGCTTATGGCTGTGGTGGACCGGCTGATAGAACTAGATGTAAGTAAATTGAATTTTCCTTGGAATAAAAAATTGTTTGGCTTTGTGTGCCAGTGAATGTATTGGAGTTTCATGTAGGTGGAGATTGGATGGGATGCCATTTTACAAGATGATTTCAGCAAAGGCATATTTGAGATGGAGCTTGAAGATGTGGATGACATTGAGGAAAATGATGAGCCTGATGTTGGAGAGGTGTAGTCAACATGTTTCTGGTTCTTAATATGCACCTTTGCTCCTTAATACTGTTCTAAGAATCTAGTAACCAGTTTATGATGCACAAGATATAAAAATGATGGAGCTCATTTTGCAGTTTCGGTTAAGCCGTAAGAGTCTGGCTGGAAACAGCATTGCTGAACTGCTAGATAACCTACTGGTTTTAACTTTTGAACATCTTGAATCTTGTGAAAGGGAAGGCCGGTTAGCTAAGGTATTTTTTGAAGTTAATCTTTCCATCTCCTCACGCCGCATCCTCTTACCTGGTCCAGCCTTAAGATTGTTTAATTGCCGTATAGGTATTTGAAACACTTCTCCAGTCATTTCAGATAACAGTTCTGACTGCCTACAAGTCAAAATTTGCTCAGGTAATACTTATTTTATCATCATCTAAATGGTTATGCTGTTTAGTTTCTTGAGATTTCTGTTGCTAATTCTTGATGAACATCTTAGTACTATTTTTTTTATTTTCTTAATACAAGCTGCATGAATTGCAAGTATTTCAGCTCTGTTTTTCCAGTAATGTTTGCAGTTTGTTATATTCTATGCTTGCGCATTAGATCCTGAAAACTGTGGTAAGAGATTTGCCACATTGCTGGTAGAATTATTTGTCCAATACTCACAGCCCCAACCAACCAGGTAATTTTTTATTATCTGAAAGGTTTAATGAATATTAGCTGTCTTTTGTACGTGTATATTCCTTGAATTTTAATTAGTACATGTAAAATTGCTATCATGTATTTACTTCTTCCTTCTGTGTCCTTTTCCTCTCTCGTGTTAGCAGTACCTCCTTCACTATTTATATGGGGTTGAGCAATTGGGACCTCGTTCTATAGCACACTTTGAAATACATAGTACCAACATGAGCAATACATTATGTGGCATGGTTTTGTAGTAATTTTCAGGCATGGTCGAACATGTTGCCATTTGTAATCTCTAACAAAGTAAAAGGGGGATGTTAAATCATTCTGCCAGTTTCTAAGTTATATATTTTTTAATTGTCTGTTCACTTCTAGCCCAAGAATTTTACACGTCCATAGAGCAAGTTTTGATTTTTTGGTGAATGCTTAGAAAGCGTATACATATTACCAAGAAATTAGGGCCTATTTTATGCATCTCTTGATCAACAGGAATTCTATGAGACATCAGTATCTTGCTGCTTGGAAAGCATATACATGATACCTTTAAAAAACGCTTATTTTACAGGTCTCTCGAACTACTGGAAATCGATGAGACGCTTTCATCTTGTTGCGTCAGAAATAGAGGCCTTTTCCATATATGTTTTATTTCCCTTGATGAGCAGTCTAATGCTTAATTTGAATCTTAACAAAACTAAATACCCTCATTGCTCTGCCGTTTCTCCCTCAATTTCTTTGTGCTCCGGATTGAATGTAGGATTGAAACTACTTAAACTTGAAACTATTAATCTAAATAAGGAATAGAGGCAAAAAAAACGAGTGGCGCGAATTATCTCTTAGCACTAATTAATTTTTGTTTTATGCAGGATGAGTGCTGTAGCTTATCTTGCTAGCTACTTATCTCGAGCGAAGTTTCTGTCTCCCTCTTTTATTTGTAGCATGCTAGAAAGGTTCTACATTATAACCTTTTGAGATTCATCTTCTTCTAGCACTGTTCTGGCAACAGATGGTGTGAATGAAAATGGAATCTTCATTGCCTAACGTTACGCATCTTAATTTTGTGAAACTTAGGTTGGTGGATTGGTGCTTGGAATACTGTGAAACCCATGATGGTGATATAAATCCAAATGCACATAGAGTTTTCTATTCTGGATGCCAGGTTGATGTTCTAACCCTTGAAGGCTTATACTTTTGTTGGAAACAACAGATGCTAAAACGTGTCAGTTATAATTTTTTTTACCGGGAAACAAATAATTGTTAAGATATTGTTCGCACTTGGATTGCATTAATTCGTTGTTAGGAAAGCTGAAGTTATTACTATCTGTCGCAGGCAATTTTGTATGTTCTCTGCTTTCGAATTAAAGCTTTTGTGAATGTTCTGTGTTTGAAGTTACTTCTCATGCCACTGGAACAAGTCTTAAAGCATAAATTGAATCCTTTGAAAGTAAGGAATAGTTTTCTTTTATCATATGAGCAGGTTAGAATCCATCTCAAATATTTGGTTAATTTTCCCAGTCTAATACCGATAGACTACCATGTATAGGTATGCCTCCCATCTGTAGTGGAGGAGTTTCTCCGACAGGCAAAAGCAGCTTCTCTCTTCACTGTGAGTGAAACATTCATTTTTGATGGGCTGCTAGAGTCGGAACTTTCAAGGGCATTTGGCGGCCTAGAAAGGCTCGACGCATTTTTTCCGTTCGACCCATGTTTGCTGAAAAGAAGTGACAGGTTTGCCTTTTTTCATTTGTGAATGATTTAGGACATAATTGTTTGTTGTTATAATCTTGCCTTGCCTTCTTCCTGCCTTGCTGACAAAGTGCCATCTTTTTAATGTTTTTCTCGCTTCCGAAAAATGAAGTTTCATCCGTCCTATGTTTGTGTTCTGGTCAATGGTAAAACCAACATACGATGATGCTGATGATGACGATGACGATGATGAAGGCAGCAGTGACGATGAGTTGGTTGAGGATCATCAGAATGAAAATGAGGACATGATGAACGGTATCGATATGGATGAATTTGATTGTCAATTGCAGAAAATGTCGATAACACCAAAGAATACCTCGAGTCACAAGTTTGGGGGTCGATATCAAGAACAAGCAAGAATGCCTAGTAGAATTAGGCCATCTACAAGCCCGGAGTCCTTATGATTCAAAGGGGGATGAATATTTGTATGTAGTAATGCATGTCCATTTTTGTGTCGAAGGGAAACCACAGAATCAATACACAGAGAAATTGCTATTTATGTGCGTGGAGAAGACGATTAGCCGATATTCCATACAGAAGTTGGAGCATATGGATGGTGTTGTGAGAAGATTTTTATTTACTATGATTGTAAAAATTAAGTTTAAATCTGCTTTATTAGTTTCCTTTTTGTTCTAGATATCTTGTAGTTGGCGCAATTAATTGATTGTCATCTCTCTTTCTAACCTACACCACAACTGATGTGAGCTTCTCCCATATAACAAAGTTTACTTGAATCTTAGCAGATGCAATTTGTATCAATATTTACCCAAATTTCTACATTTTCAGCTGATTTCATATGCTATAACAATGAGAGGGAAGCTTTCCTCTCATTTTTCTAATCTTTATAACTGAACATTCAATAAAGAGAGAAGCTTTCCTTGGGAGGATCTTCTCCTTTATATTGAATGAATTTTTTAAGTTTATTATATAAATTAATACTTGAATTTGATATTTTTGTTTCTCGAATAGATTTCTAAATTAGAGAAGAATTTTTTATTTACTTCATGAATTTAGAAAAATTAAATCAATATTTCATGTTATTTCAACTATTCATGTTGTGACATGTGACACTTAATGACATCATTATTTTAACTGATCAATATTATGTTAATAATTTGGGGAAAAAATTCTTCCTTACGATTTTTAGTAGAAAATGATATAATATTGTATGGAATTAATACAACATTAACTAATACAAAGGTGGCCATTTTCAATCACAAAATTTTATAACAAATAAAATGTAAACCTATGCAATAGTTTCAAAGATTATGATTGGATTACCAGGTGAAGTGGTACAGTTATTCCATCACGATACAGTAAACAAAATTGCAGAGTCTATAGAACGAAAAGGGCACATTAATATTTGCAGCAGGAAACCTCCTGTTTATCTCTGCAAAATAACAATGTTTTAGCCACTTGTTCCTGGACAACACAAATATGCTCTGAAAACCATACTCCACACACTAATTAGATGAAACTGACGGTATACATACACCTCATAATACCTCTACTCTGCTGTAAGAAGGGTGATTTCAATCTCTTGAAGTGATCTTCCTTTAGTTTCCATCACGTTTCTTTTCACAAAAATCACCGCCACAAAACAGAAGGTGGCGAAAATGGTATCCAGCACCAATGGTCCGATCTGTTCCAGTAACCGCAAAAACAACAGACCCACAAGGAAATTTATCACCTGTTCAAAACAGACCAAACCCACAGCTCAAATACTTTAAGAGGAATGGACACTGTAAAAATCTATGCAGGTTATTCAACTTGTAGTCAAATAAGTAAAGAAATAGAATCCCATTGTCTAGCAATAGCTTCCGGTAAGAGTTATAACTGGTTTACCCAATGGACAGTCAGGCAAATTGACATTGCCTTCGCCCTTATCCGACCGGGAAACATTTCCGATAGGAGGAGACTAGGGACTGGTCCTGCACCAGCAGCAAAGGCCAACACAAACCTGCATCGTCACATAAATACACGTTTCCTTTGAATAGCCTTCATAAAAGTCTAATAAAGGTAAATCTCAAACAAGGTCTATGGAACTCCAAAGATGCATTTTAGATTCAATCAGATGTCCCTTGTCTCGTTATGTATGAAAGAGGAAATTTAAAACATCCCAGGTGACTCTAAGAATCAAAGGATTAAGAAACATTTTGGAACATCAAAGGATTAACAACTCACAACAGCATGCCTCCAACAGAGAGATAAACTTCATTGCTGCTCGACACTAAGGAGCTAGCTGAAGCAGCCTGAAGACCCATTGTCACTGCCTGAAACATAAAAGTACAAACCATAGATCAAATTAATTGTCAGCCTTATACTACAAATCATACAAATTGTTAAGTTCAAGTCTAAGGCGAAAATTGGAACAATGGAAAATTAAAAGGGTACAGAAGTAGAAAGATGAAAAATATATTTTTGCTTTTCATTGGTGAGCTTGGTAGGGAAGATGGAAAAATTGAAAGAAAGTGTAATTTTCTTTCCATTCATTGCTTGGTAGAGTTGAAAAATGAGTGGAAAGAAAACAAAGTTTTCGAAAAGTACATAAATTTGAACCGACTTACATATCTCACACATTTTCTCTCCTCTTTTCCTTTAAAATTGGAATGATTTGTTTTTATACACGAGGATGGAAAATGATTATCCCTCTCATTTTTCTTTCCAATGAAGCACACTCAAAATTTATTTTCTTTCCACTTTTCAACTCCCTCCTTCCATCCCTTCCACTCAACCAAGAAAAGCCTAACAGTCAGAAAATATGTTACTATAACATCAGAGCAATCTGAAAATACATTAGATGGGAAGTGTGTACCACAATATCATGACAATCAGAAATACATATATATCCTCTAGGAATCTCATATGATTGCCTTTATACTTTAGGGCTTTGTAGTTCATGTCTAACAATCAGAAATAGATCTATCCCCTAGGAATATCATATGACTGCCTCTATATTTTTGGACCTTGTATAGTTCTTAGATTCTCACAAGACAATGGCAACATCAAACTGCATTAGATAATAACTGTAGTTTTACGGTATAAGATAATGCTGCAGAACAGTAACTACGCACTTCTAATTGTTAAAAAGGACGCATATTTTTAAGGTCCAACCAAATCCAAATAGTTTGTATGGTTTCTCATTAATGATCACACCATTAGATGCCAAAGTACACTAACTGTAGACAGCTACAACAATCATATTAGAAACTTCACATCATATATATTCTGCTAGCATGAACAAACAGTTAAACCAGTAAAACTTTTGTTCCGTACCATGCCTGAGAAACTTGCAATGAGAAGTACCTTCCTTCCCAGTTTATCCATCAAAAGCAATGCAGAAAACGATCCTGAATAGATATATAAATACCAAAATCAAAGAAATACTCCACCATGATGCACAAGTTGATTACATGGTAACGTAGCCATATATACCTATCAAATTGGCAATCCCCACACATATGTTTGCAGACTGCGAGGATACACCAGCATTCTTAAAGACGGTAGAGGAGAAAAAGAAAATAGCATTTATACCAGAAAGCTGTTGTAAACCAAACAGAGTCGACCCAATGAAAATAACTGCAAATGAAGAAGTTAAAAAAGTAACCATTTAGAAACAAAAGTATAGGGTTCGATGACTTAACAATCTTAATGAAAATGATCAGCATGTTGACCTTTACGATGATGGCCATAAAGTAGCTCCGACAACTTGACTGTTTCTGCCTCATCCCCTCTGTCTGACTTTGACAAATCAACCATTGCACCCTTGACATATGGTCCACCGAAAAGTCTCTCAAATGCTGCTTCAGCATCAGCAGCTCTTCCTTTCTGAATAATAAAGCCTATAAGAGTCTACTGAGAAAAATCTACTTGAAGCAAAACAAAGAGAAAAGATATAGAAGTGCTCATATCCCCTTCATTGTTTTTTCTTAATAGATAAAAAGGAAACAAGCATATATAGGAAAAGAAAAAGGTGAAATTCACCCGTGCTAAGAAGAGGTGATATAACAATATAGTGTATTACTTTCAGCCTCAAAAGAGTGTTTAAAACAATATATACATTGTCCAATCTCAATACCTAGAACACACGTACATACTTCTAAGATCTTAACTATCTTATACGTATTAAATCCATGCTCTAAAATCGAAGTTTTTTTCAGTTCAAATTTTTTTACAAAGATGCTCAACTCCCAAACAATCATATATTCAGGTCCCTTTATCTAACTGCAGTTGAAATAACATAGTATTTTAAGTGATGGAGCAAATGCCAAATACATAAAAATCTAACTTATGCCCTCCAAAGATCCTCCAATACCAGGAAAACTTTTAGAAAATTTGAATATACTCAAACACATGCTCGTATGTGAAACTCACATATGATTCTAAATGAACATAGAAGCTAACTGCTCACAGTTTCAAAGAATATAACAATACAAAATGTGAATATAATTTGCAGTTCCTTTTTCTTTTTCATAACTTTAATAACATTTGCATCTCGTTACATGGATTTAAATTTTTATTAGGACAAGATGACACTCGACGGATGTTGAAGAAGTAATGAGAGAAAATGACCTTGAAAAGCCAATGGGGACTCTCTGGAGAAAAATCAATAGAAAGGGCAAGTAAAGCAGGAGGAACAGCAGATACCCAAAAACATATTCGCCACCTGTTCACATCGAGTTGAGAAATATGTCATCAATCCGATTCAACAAAGCACAACCAAAGTTGCTAAAATATGAACTCTTTTTGAAAAAGAGTGTGTGACACTAAGCTAATCATCTTGTTGTGTCGGTTGGCAGTGTGATAGTAAAAAATTACTCCAAACAACCATAAACAAAAGATAAAAAAAACCTTTATTTGATTATAATTTTCAAAGCTACTACTAACTCACAGCATTTCTTACCAACCCTCAGTTTCCTTTGAAGGGGATCCAATCAATAGAGCACCCATCAAACCAAGGGCTGTTGCAATCTGAAGGAAGCTTCCATATGTGCCTCTAACATAAGCCGGAGAAACCTGTGCATGGATCCAATTGCTATTTGAGAAAAAGAGGAAAGAAGAGATTGTGATATAGCAGAAAAATAGTTTATTAACTAGCTTTTCGATACCTCTGTCACATAAAGAGATGCAAGAGCAGGGCCAAGACCCATTCCAGCCCCAACGAATAACCTTCCTAGAAGAATTCCCCAAAGGTCTTTTGCTGTTGCACTGCATGAACATTCTTGGAATTATCTAAGTTAATTTGGATTACGAGAACTAAAAGCTAGCTGGGACTCATTACCTCTCAGAAAAGGGTTCAAGAACCCGAAAAAAATGATTGAAATTAACAAGGTAAATTGTGGTAATCTAATAAAAAGGATCCGAAAAAACCTAACCTTCAAAGACATTATTATCCTATAAAAGCCTTTAAGCATAATGGAGAATTGGAGATAAATTCAAAACAAACATGCTAGAAATTAAGGTAGATCAATTAACATTGCACTTACCTCATTGAAGAGCCAATTATCATAGGTAATGCGCATAGCTGGAATGCCCTGCGAAACCCAATCCTATCTACAATGAAACCACTGAACGTTGATCCAGCAAAGGCACCCCCTAAACATATGCTAACAACCAGACCTTGATTTCAACAAAAGACAACATATTATCAGAGCAATTTCTCAAATAAGACAGGAATACTAAAATCTAAATTCATTGCAACAGTACCTTCGGCCATGGTATTCCCATTAAAATGAAGATCATTAGAAATACTTTCTAGTGTTTCATTGACTACTCTGCACTAGGAACACATAACGTATCAAAAATAGATTATCACAAGAATTTCCACAAATAACCAAAAAAAAAAATATTAGAAGGAACAAACCCAAGATGGTAACCATATAAGAAGGAGGTTAAAGATGCCACAACTACATGCAGGATCGATCGTTTCCAAGGAGGGTTTCCAATATCTTTGCTCACTTCATTCCATGAAGGTACTTTAAAGCCCAATCAAAGAATAGACAAACTGTCAGTACTAAGTACTATTTTTAATTTAGAGCAAAATGCATGCATATTAGAGATCAAATGTAAAATCCCATAGCATAAAAAGCCATAACACAGAGGTAGAGCAAAGCTTTCAACTTCATACAACTTGCATTACTTTGAAGGGTTAACTATTGTTTCCTCGGTAAAAAACTGTTGTATTATCTTATAAAACTCTCTATATAAAATACCCATCAAGTTAAAAACCGCAAAGAATCAAGTAAAACGGAGCATACATGAACCTTGCTCTTTGTCATAGGCATTGATATTTTCTCTGCTACCACGCTTGTGAATGGAATAAGCATCAGCGTTTCGTCCCCGCATTGCCACCTTAGTGTAAACACCCTCCTTTCCAGAACTAAATCAAAACTTTCCGCCGTCAACTGCAAAATAAATTCAAAGATGAATCACAAATTAACTGATCGAATAAATAACTAAACAAATAAATCCAGTTTTTGTTTTATTAAATCATGTGATAAGGTAAGCCTGCATTGGGAGAGAATAACAACAAAAAAGAAGCAAATTACAGAGATCAGAAATGGGATTCTCTAGAAAATGAATAGTCTGACCTTCAACAACAGAAAGATAATAACACGCCGTGGTTCAAGAACTAGATGGATTTAGCTGGAAAATGGCAGGGAAGATCAAAACTTAAGAACAATTCACCATTTCAGGTTCAAACAGATTCATAGATTACAGGGAATATGATTGAAAGAGAAATGTTGAGGAAATGGCGTAATCAGCATGGGAAAGAGAAAAATCAGAGATGACTATATGACAGGCGAGTAAAATGCGGTGGGAGAGAAGGTGACCGATGATTGTTGCACCTTATTCTTGTGTGACCCTCATGTCTTCAACAGAAATTAAATCTACATATTAGCCTATTTCTTAACATCTGCTGCAAAACTAAATTTTGATGGTTGAATCCAATAATTTTACAACTACTTTTTCATATCAAAATATAATAATTCAAACTCCAACAAATATTCATAATGTCACTTATGTGATATGTTACATGTTACCACATTAATTTATATATAAATTCAATAGATTCAACATTAATTAGCACGAACCAAATTATCTCAGTGATTAAAGGAATGATTATTCCTAGAGGTCTCATGTTTGAGTATCAAAGATTACAGGATATTTGAGCGTTCATTGTCAAATGATCGAGAGTCTTTAGAACAAATACTATAAATCTAAAGGAGAGGATCAATGTCAACCCATAATCTAGGAGAAAAAAGAGATACTTCAAAGCTTGTTGAATTTTTTGAGTAAAAAGAACAAAGTAAAAAAAAATGGAACCACTATATAATTTAGTGCAAAAATCAAGATTTGAAAAATGATAATCCTACTAAGCCAAATGCCAATTTGATCAAAGCAGATGATATAAATTTTATAAACATTTCTCAAGTCAATATTGTCACATAAATAAAATAGCGGATGGTAGAGATTGACACTACTGGACATATTTATGGAAATTATATAATCTATATCTTTATGTTTTACCACTCTCATGTGGATGAAGGAGAGCTATTTATCATAGACTTTTGAAATAAATATTTGAGAAAAAGAAATATGTTCAAAGTAAAATTTAAACCATTTTTAATCTAAATGAAACACCTCTTAATATTTTTTTTATACATTATCTAAACTATCCGTTTTTGTCAGTTTTAGTACCTAAACTTTCATTTTTTTCAAAACCATAACTAAAGTTTAGTTTTTGTTTCATTTTAGTACCTCTGTTCAACATTTAACATTAAGTTTTGATTTTTCTTTTTTTTTTTAAATTTTAGGCACTAAAACGGACCAAAACTAATAGTTTAGGTACTTAACGCATTAAGTTTTTAGCGGCAAAGGTAGTAAAATGAAACAAAAATTAAACATTAGATATGGTTTTGAAAAAATTGAAAGTTTAGGTACTAAAACAGACCAAAACTGATAGTTTATATACTAAATATGTAGTTTACCCTATTTTTTACAGTAGAAGTCGCTAGTTTTATTAATATTAGAAATTATTCAAATTACAATGAAAATTTGCAATCACAATCGTAAACCAAACGCATATTAAGGATATTTTTCTATAATCGTTAACACAAGAATCTTGCCGCTTAAAATCACATAAGGATCATACAAGGAAAATGTTGAAAAATCTAACAAAATAAATTCGAATGAAAGGTAGATATGAACATATATGACTATTGAAAAACGAACCAAAAAAAAAAGGATCATACTATTAAAAGACCACCGACGTACCGTAAATTAGAATCAAGTAACGTGAGAAAACTATCAACGAATGCAAATCACATATCCAAATCCAATCCAAAGATCCAAAACAGGGAATATCAACATGATAACAAATAAGTATCTTCTTGATTATAAAAAATTGATTTGAAAATTTCCTTAATAGTATGGAGTGATTATAAGGGTAATATCTGTTCAGAACCTTCTTAACCTATTGAAAACTAAGGATGTCAACATATCGAAATGAGTCAGATTTTTGGTTAACCCAACCTAACCCAAAAAAAATATACCCTCCACCAGAACCCAACTCGACCCTAAAATATATATCCTCCATATGAGCCTGACCCTACCCAAATTTTTAGAATATAAATCCTATCTGACCCGACCCGAAAATATATATCCTCCACATGAGCCCGATCAACCCTGAATTTTTAAAACATAAATTTGATCTGATTTGACCTGAATTTTAAAATACAAATCTTATCCGATCCGACCTAATATAATATAAAATAAAGAATTAATTAAAATAATAATAGAGACCCTCTAGGTATTATAGTATCTGTGTAACACCTCAATTTCTGGGCTAGTAGTTTCGAGTTTACCCGAGAGATAAATAGACCCCGTGAAACTCATATTTTAAGCCATTGGGACGAGTTAGGTTTAATTGGGTTGATCTTGGGCCCAATTAACCATAAAATGAGTTTTTGGAATAGTGGAAAGATGGGAAAGACCAAGTGGGTAATTTTCCCATTTTATAAAGGTGAAAATCTTTATATTTCATCCATCTTCTTCTTCACCCTAATTCCTCCATTTTTCTTCTTCTTCCTCTCCCAAAATTTCCATAGAACAAAGATAAGTTCTCAAGACCAATTCATACTCCATTTTCATTCTAAATCATTCCAGAAGTGTCGTTTTATTTAATCAAACCTTGGGTTTTTATCGTTAAAGAGAAAAGTGAGAGTTTCAACCAAAATCATCAAAGAAAATAGTTTGGCTAAGCAAGGAGTTTCATTTCAGGTTTCTAACCCCAAGGTAGTGTATTTCTAATCCTTTAGAGTATTAAGTGAGTATTTAAGCATTTTAGGATTTATATTTGATATCATAATTAATTTACATTTTAGAGATTAAAAAGACGTTTTTATGCTACTTTAAGACCTTAATCAACTCCCTAAAGCTTCAAAATAAGATTAGAAACCAAACTAAGGGATTTAGGGTGTTTTTTTGTGATTATTGAGCCTAAATTAACCATTTCATGGTTCGAGTATCGATACTGGGATAAACATGATCAATACTGGATGAATTGAGGTAAAAATTAGGGATTTTTGATAGGGAGTATCGATCTACTAAGGAGAGTATCAATACTGCCCCTACAGTATCAATACTCAAGGTGGCAATATCGATATTGAGCCTCAATTTCAGAAACAAAATGAATTTTTGATATCGATACTCATACGAGTATCAATACCCAAGTGGAGTATCGATACTACTCACTTGGGATGACTAGATTTGACTCGATTAAGGCCCACAAAGGTTAAGGATGATCCGTAGTAGTAGGAATTAGTCCAATGAGAGGCGTAAATAGCCAAAGGGGCCCAACGAGACTCGTAGGAGTGTGTTGCAACCAGAGTCATCATAATGGGTGTAATGCATCCAAGTATCTTTAGTTGAGTTCGTAACGGGTATCTATAGATTGGATATCATTGCATAGGGTGTACCAAGAAGCGGTAGGACCAAGTAAGCAGTTTTCAAATCAATAGAGTTGTTTACCTAAAGAACGACTGAGAGGGTCGAGCGTTCAATTATCCCTTTAATTCGAGGGAGAATTGAGGGAAAGCGTAGTAATAACGAATAGAGTATCGCTACACAGAAATTAACCCGAGTCAGGTATCTGGCTAACGGATATTACAAGCAATGAGCAGAAAAAACTTTGTAAAACTTCGAACACGTAGAAATTCTCTAGAGCCAGGAAATGACTAAGACGCCTTTAAGTAACAAATGAACAGAATAAAGCAGCTAAATAACTAAAAACAATATCAAACTAATAAGCCTTCGCTACGTTCTAGACGAGAGAACGAGCGAGATAACAGTTAGTGAGAGGATAACCTCACTTTAGTGAGTCCAGTTGTACTAAGGTATAACCATGTTGCCCTAATAAGGCATTATCAATGCGCGAGACACTTCAGGAGCTAGATAGGGAACGAGGCCCAAACACTCGCGAGGAGTGGGTTAGTAGTGTCAGTTGTAACACCCACAACCAATATACGTCTAGAAATACGAGTTAAAGATGTTACATCAACCTTACAGACATTTCGTTGAACATAAATGCTTAAAATTTTGTTTCATTACAAAGCACCCTCTTATCAACTTTACATATATTTCGTTGTTCACGGAAAATCATAAAATAGTATTTAACCTTTTAAAACAAATCCGATTTTAGGTAACGACTAGACAATTTAATGATTGTATCCCAAACTACTCAAAATTGCTTAATTTGAAAACCACTTAAGAATATAAAACATGAATATAATACTCATGCATAAATTTAAATATAAATAAAACTACCCAAAATAAATGATCCTAGTTTACTCTTACATGCCATTTTAAAATTAATACGATAAAGTCAAAGATATTGATATAATATACATGCCACTAATAAGTCAAAGATAAGATGTCTTAGTAATACTGATATTAGGTACGATTTTTTGAAAAGATGCTAAAGTTGCTCCTCACTTTACGTTATTTCTGATTTTCGAACTTATTCATGAAAATCATCACGCGCTAAGTAAAACTTAGTGAGGCATTAACATAGCTAGGTGAGATAAAATATAAATATCATAAGATATTTAAAAACATAAAACTGTGATATAATTAAAAACATTGAAACTTTCAAATCGAGCTATTCAAGCCTCATTTTCCTATTTGAAAACCTAAAAATCATCATGTTATGATTTTATAAAAAGTCATGTAAGTCAACATCAGATATATCAAACATTTCACTTTCTTTTCATTTGTATATATATATTTCATAACTTTCATTTCATTTCCATATTCTTTTCTTTCATATACTTGTCATAACTGTCACATTTACTTTCATAGCTTAATATATATGTAAGAGAATGCAAGGTACACGAGTCAAATAAGTATGCGCAATAAGCACTTCACGATGCTATCATTGTAATCAGAATATGCACTCCAAGTGCATTCATATCGTTTGCACCAACGATGCTACTCATAATGTACACAAATGTACCATATCATAATCAGAATCAATCCACCTCATGGCATGCCAATTGTACCTATGACTCTATATGCAACAAACAATGAGCTTTCAGATCATATCTTATTCGTTTCATAATCAATATTTCAAATCTAAAATCATTTTTACTTCATCATCGTCAAAATATAACGTGGCAACTCATACCCTAAATTATCTATAAACTTTATACAAACATTATGTAAATAATTCATATTCAAAATAGAAAACATACTTTAAAATAATATGAGGTTGACTTATCACAAGTGGAAACTTGACTCAAATACAAATCTAGCCATATAAGGCACTTCTTCTAGTTCAATTTTTAAAATTTATAGAGAAATTTCAAAGCTAACTTACAGAAATTATTTTGAGCAGAATCTGCTGTCATGTTTCTGACCTATCATCGATTAAAAATTCATATCCTTTTGTATACACCTCGAAATCAGTAGTAATTTGTTTTTAAAAATATACTAATAGACAAATCCAACGGTATAGAGATCATCCTCTAATCACTTATGTATAATTTATGGTGATTTTCTAAACTTAATGTTCAAATCATAGTTTCTAGTCAACTTTCTCTAATTAACATCCTTAGCTTATTTCATAATTCTATTAGCTTACCAAATGAACATTTATACATAAATCACAAATCACATAATATTTAAGAGTCAATTCTTACCATAGTAACTCCATGATTAGCTCTTCGCAAGCCAATGTTCATTTGATAATATAAATACACACTAAATATGCACTCACTTTTGCCTCACTATCGAACCTTTTCTACAATAATCTTCTCAATCCCGCACTTTTTCCTTCTTCTTCGAGTCACTTAGATCACTAGATTTATCTTAGTCTGACAACTTCATATAATAACATAAAATATTCAAATTGTATGTTAGTATCGTACTAACATAATCGAAACCTAATAATATAAAAGTCTATAGAAATGACTCGATACTTAATCAATATAAAACTAAATCATAAATCCATAATAATTTCAAACTTTCCAAATCTTTCGATTCCATAAATATTGATTTTCATCATCAATCTTTTCTTTTAATTCATAATGATCATTCACCATTATGATCATTTCACATAATTTACTAAAATTTCCAGCACTTTGATAATATACTCAATTTAATACCTTAACATTCAAAAGCTTGCAATTTCATCTCTATTTCCTTAGACTTTTCGAATTCAACGACCTACTTTAATAAACTTGCAGTTTGATCCCAAACTAATATTTAACTCTAAAAATCAGCATGCTAATAAATTTTCCAGCATTGTAATTTCTTAACAAAATAATACCATTACTTTTAAAAACTCACCATAAAGTCCCAACTATTGAGACTATTCGAATTCCATCATCATACTTATCCAAATTTGTACTTTGATCCTTAATCATTAATTTAACTTAAAATTCCAGCATTTCAATATTAAAATTCAACATTGAGCACCCCAATTAATAAATTTATGTAATAATATCCTACAATTCTCAAAACTTATAAAATAACCCTTTTTCTATTTCAAGCTTCCGAATTGATCAAAATTGATCTCCAAATCATATAGAACACTTCTAAAATCAATTTTAAACCATAGGAAATTTTCAACATTGTTACCCAACTTATTTCCCTATGGTCGAACCTTCCAAAGTATTTAGGATAAACTTTCTATTCAATTTCAAGCATGAATTCAACTCCCTTACATCAAATTCATGCTATATTATTCATCACAACATCAAATTAACTCAAAACCCCAAAATCCTCTAAAACCCTAATTAGGTCGAATGGTATATAAACATCTACACATCATTTTGATCATCACACATGCTTTAGAACTAATCTACAACACCAATAACATAATAATCTTCCATCAAATCTTCAAAATCAAACATATTATTCAACCACCCAATTCATGAATCTCAACATTTAAACATGATTTCCATGTAATTTTAATATCAAATGATAGAGAATTTCAAGAGGATTAATTCTCTATCTAATAGCTTAATCCAAAAATCAACCATAAAGTTTTAAAAATCAAATTAAAATCCTCAAAAATTTGGCTATAGAGCTAACGGCAAATGCTTGGGAAATATGTTGATTTTCCCCATGTAATTGTCACTTAAAACACTTGTCACCTTTATAATATTATTGAATTTAAAATTCAATTAATGAGATATTCCAATTTCACCATTAATGAATCATGATAATTACTAATTTCCATTGAAATATATTCTATTAAAATATTCCATAGTCAAAGATGAACTAATTTGACTTTGCCTTTCTACTTTGGTCATGCAATTTTCAAAAATTATATTTTAGTCACTAAATTTCCACTGTTCGACCAAATCTGAAAAATTAACTTCAATTCATCTGATTCCTGCTAAATTTCATTGATCTAAAGTATGAAAAATAATATTTCCAACCCTTATCTAGCATCCTTCAACTTTTCGTGAAATTCAGGTTCGATCCGATTATCCAATTTTTATCCCGAACTTTATCGCTTTATAACTTTTTATACAAATCTCGTACCGAAATTTTGATTCCCATTAAAATTCTCATTTTAGGTTAAACTGTTCATTTACATGAAAAAATATATAATTTTTTAAAATTATATTTTTGGTCCTTAAACTTTTAAAGTTTATACTTTAGCCACCAAACTTTAAAAATTTATATTTTAATCACTGACCAAAATTTGGGATATTACATCAGGTTTTTGTGGCCTTTGGGCCTTATATATGCATGTGTAGTTGCATCAGTTCAGTGCCTCATTTATCAGAAAAGTTTGGCTTGATGTTGTGTGATACAAGCCAATGCTTCAGTTGAGTGAGAATATCCGATGTTATGTGATACCAAGATTCCTTCTTGATGGTCTACCTGATGCTATGTGATGTCAGAAGATCATCCAACAGCTTAGAGGGAACCTTATGTGATACTGGTACCCCCTCTCAGTAGGCTAGTATCTGATGCTGTGTGATACCAGATACTAGCATAGCAGAACCAGTGTTGCATTCAAATAATGCATAGTAGAATCAAAGTTTCATTTAGATAATGTGTAGCAGATCAATCATTAGGGTTAGAGACCCTTTAGAGGTGTTCTCATGACGAGGCCCTTGTCCAAGGACTAAGGCAAGTGTGAGACCCCTACTTCAGTGATAAGACAGTTGAGCATTTAGTAGGTAGCATTTGATCTAGATCATGCATGTACCTACTGCTTAGTACCCTATCTTTAGTATGCTTACGTTTATGAAATTCTTATGTTGCTCTAGATTAGTAATTATACTGCTAAGCTTTGTAAGCTTAACTTTCTGATATTTTTCGTTGCCAAGTCAATAGCTTGGGCATTTTGTGAAGCACCGCTGCAGCAGGACTTCCAGCATCTTCGACAGAGTACTATACTATAACTTTAGTGGGGCATGTGTATTCATGTAACGTTACTCATGTATTAAGTTGTTAAATTCAATGTTTGTATTATTTTGGTTTTAAATTATGTGTTACAGAGCTCTAGTTTTGTAAAATGTTTTAATACATTTATTTATGTTTTAATTATGATACCATTCAACATATTTGAAAAAGAAAATTAACAAGTTTTGAAAATCAGGGGCTGCCTCGGCAGCCTAATGTGGCACTTTAGGTCCAATTGAGTTTAGGGTATTACAATATAAACTTATTTGAATAAATTACACTATTATCCTCGAGTTGGAGTTGGATCGGAATTTTTTCACCCTCCACTTGAATCATACCCGATTTGAATCTGACTTTTTTCTAGAAAAATCTGACCATTGGGTCGGGTCGGAATACATCGATTTCAGGTTAAATTATCATCCCTATTGACATAGTATATACACTTTGTAGACACCATTGATTGAGCCCAAAACCTCTAAAAAGATTAAAATTCTTTTTTACAATTGAATCAATTAAAGTCTGCATATGACATGTTAATTTAGAAATTTGTGTACGTACTGTTAGTAATATGATTTATAAAATTTGTAACACAATTATATTTTTTTCCTCTAGTGGGGATCACAAATGCTTTTATTTTTTTATTTTTTAAAGATAATAAAAATAAAGAGCATGCATATTCGGTTGGTTTGTGAAATTGTTTACCTTTATTTTTTATATTGCTTTAGATTATGAGTTTTAGATTTATTAGGAGTACTCCTTCTCTCATCTAAATATAATTGTGATTAGATTATGAAGTCCTACCTTTTCGGTTTTTATTTAGTGACGGTGATTGAGTGAGAATTAAGGGATAATGTGTTCCATATGGAGGATTGTCACCATTGCTTTCATCTGCTTCTTGTATTTCTCAAACAGAATATGAAAACACAGTATATATTGTATTTGACAATTAAATAATGCACGATTTTATATATGCTGGAATCTTGAAAACTCGAAAGGGATAGTATTTTCCTTTAACCAGGTTGTGTGACATTAAAGAAACATGAATTTCGAAAACAAAATCCATAAAGAAAAAAGAATGATATTTTTCTGTAGCTAAACAAACCGCAAAACGTCTTTCTTGATTTAAAGATGATGCTTTCGAGTTTCATGATCCATCACCCTCTATCTATCTCTCTAACTTCTTCCAGTTTTTTTTTAATCTTCTATTCCATCAATGGCGTGATGTTGGAGTTTTGGTTCCACTCAAGCTATCAAGATAAGAAATCTTCTTGCTTATCAGCATGTTCAGCTTTTGTACGTTCTTCGGATCCGGTGCCTCTGCTACTTCTTCAATCCCATTTTGATCTGTACTCCATGTAAGTAAATCCGACAGCGTCATCCCGTTCGTGCACTCCGATTCGTCTTTTGGAATTGCAGCCTGGTTCTCCTTCGATTCAGGCAGGCCTTGTGCCAGGAAATCGACTTGGATGACATCTTCGATTCGGGATAATACTGTGTGTGCCAAGCTTTCCAGTATTCTTGAATAGCTCTCTAGGACGGCCAGTCCTACATCCTGCAATGCCAAACACACACTGCCAATTCAATGCCTATGAAAGATACGTACAAAAACGATACGAAACTTACGATGTTACGTTTGGAATGTTGGTCTACTTGACGAACAAGTTACCTTGTTGTACTCAATTTTGCTGATGTCTAGTGAAGATTGAGGCAGTCCTGGGAACCTATGTTTGATAAGGTGTAAAATGATCTCAACTCTTTCCTCAAACAATTCTCTTTTCTCAATGCTAACACCAGAGCCCCATGATTTACTATCCTTTTGGTGCATTTTCCTCTTCCAAATCACAATGGATGCCTCGATCCGATTCTTGAGGTCTAAGATCTTGTGATCCGATGAGAGGTCGATAGTGGAAAGAAATTGATCCGGATCGAAGAATTCATCTGTGATGCTCCTATAGATCGAATCACCTAGACTAGCTCTCCCATTCTAACAACCCATCAACCAGAAAAAACCGAGGTGAGAACCGAACCGGTGTAAACCCGAGGTTCGAGTGTTTTGTTACTTTTACCTTGGGGAGGGATTCAATGTAGCTATCAGGGATGTCCATCTCTGACAGGAATTCAGCATTGATGGCCATTGCTGCTTTAAGAACCTGAGTGACACATTCCTTCTGAACTTGCAGATTTTTCCTCGCCGCTTCCGACAAACCGCCAGGGGGAACTTTAACGGTAGGCAGCCACCATTTGTCGTCTTTTCTCTTTCGTTCGGAGTCCGGGGCATCTTTCGACAGGTAATAGAATTCATTTTGGTCCTTGAAGGCATCCAGACAATCCTGCACGACATAGTTAACTTCTCATCAGACCATCCAGTCTTCAAATGGAATGACACAACACAGAGTTAAAATCTATGCCCTTACAATAAGCATTCTATCAAGTGTCTTGAGGGCAGGAATGTTCATAAGCAGATCTTTTCGTTGCTTTGTGACCATTATCTGAACAAGAAAAAAAAAACAAAATCTCCAAGAGGATTACAGCTCGTAATTACATGTCCGAATTTCGAAGGTGAAGAGATACCTCCATGTCGGAACCATCCTTGTTCTTCTGGTAAGAAGGTACTAATTCAACAATATGATCGGTTATAGACAATAGCCAGTCCATTTCTTTTCTCCACCTTGCTTTCCTTTCAGGCGACATAGGCTCTAACCGTGATTGTTCACCAAAAACAGATGCTGAAACCAATCATCAACTCAAATTCGATAACCCTTTCCATACTCGGTGTAAAATACATACGAATGTCGAAATAAGGGAAGTCGGAAAGTACCCGCAAGGTTTGTAATGGCATTTGAGAGTGCTAAAGCTGATGAAACTCCTGTCCCTCCACCTGACATGTCCTCCCCCAGGAGTAATTTAGCAAACTTTTCCTTCATCTGCTCCATATCTGAATCAAACATCGTGACAAAATTGTAGAAAAATCGAGTAACATAAACAAAAAACACGTAGCATACCATGATTTTCATCTACATGAACCAATCATATAAAGAAATGCGAAAGAATTAGTCATAATAATAAAATTTCCCCAAATTTGCGCAAATGATCAATTTGCTTCTTATTTTTAGGACTATTTTAACCCTCAACATTTTAGATTTTTGTCATAACAAACCCTGTTAGAATAAAAACTATTAGTTAACTAACAGTCATCATATGTTGCTGACATTATATTTTACATGTGTTTAATTACTAATGTGATATGTGTCAAGTCTGTTTAATTGTTAATGTGATATGTGTCACGACACTTAAAGTGATGATATGACATGTACAACGTCAACCAAAGTGATGAACACATCACTCAAAGTGATGACGTGATATGTGTCACATTAACAATTGAACACATGTGAAAATGTCATGTTAGCAACATGTGTTGACCATTAGTCAACTAACGATTTTCTTCTAATATGAGTTGTTTCGACAAAAAATTAAAACGTTGAGATTAAAATACTCAAAAAGAAAAAGAGACAAAATGATCATTTTGATAGATGTTAAAAAAGTTAATTTTATCGTTTTGCCAAAGAAGTATGTGCGAAAGTGATGAAACTTGCCGTGTAATAACTGTTGTTCTCTGGCTCGGAAGGCAGCGACAACCTCCTCAAAGGCATCGGGGTCACCTGCAAGAGCTGCCTCTTCAAGCTTAGTAGTACCAACGCTGAGGCTCTTGGCATGTCTGTCTTTGTTGTCCTTGGCACCCTTTAAATTAGACTTCTTACTGTCTTGTTCTTGTTCTTGTTCAACAGCTCGAACCATTGTCCAACCTCTGCTAAACAAAAACGAAGAACAATCAAACTGGAAGTTTGGATGTAATAAATTTATTGGATAACAAATGATGTGGGGTTGTTTGAAATGAAATGTTGGGGGGGGGGGATTTTAGTGATTGAAACTGCATGTTTTTCTCAGAATTTAGATTATTTCTAAATGTTGAAATGGTTTTTTAGGCTCATTTTCAGGGAAAGGGTTAAAGTTATAGCTTAAAACAAGGGATGATTTGAAGATTAATAGCATTATACTTCCTATTCTTCATGCCTAAACTTAATATTAACCACCCTTACCTCCCACATGGATGCTTTTGATTACTTGTATTTTGTGAATACCCCCCACCTGCACCTAAATTTATCCATAATCATAAATTTCAACTTCAATATTTATATTTTTATCAATTTGGTTTATTTTTAATTGAATTGATGTGATTAAAAAAATATCTCTTATTTTTTAATTTGTTTTTTATTGAGCTAATGAAATGGTTCATCTGCATCTAGAGGACACACTAAACTTTATAATTTATATCTTTTTTTTTCTTTTAGATTCTCTTAACCGTTAATATCGTTTTAGTACTTAAAAAGACCTACTGGCATTTTTCATTCTATAATATGATGAATATAAAATTTTTATTGTATATTATTTTATCAGATTTTGAAATGTTATGTATTCAGACTTTTAGAATATTATTTTTATGAGACTCCAGATTATATGATTTGACATGCATTGAGCCTTCGTTCTCCAGATCCTCTCGCATGCAAGAACTATGGAGGATGTAGCCATCTGCGGTCTCTTGAAGCTTGAAGTTCAACCGCCCCTGGTGCCTCTTCCACCCAAAATCGGTAGGTGTTGCCCAGAATCTCCTCAGCTGCTAAGATGTGTGCTGACCGATTACCATCCCTTGGGGTATATCGAAACTGGTAAGATCTAAGCCCCTCTGCCTTCCTCTGTGCTTCCCAAATTAATGGACCTATTTCTGATTGATCGAGGATTGGTGATGATAGCTTCTTAATAACGCTTTTGGAGTCACCCTCAAGGACTACGTAATCATGCTTCTGGGTTTTTATCAGAACGATAAGGTCATCCGTCCTCAAAATTTTACCTTGATGAAATCTAATGTTCCTGGTGTACCATAGTGCCCAAACTGTAATTAAAATATCGGCATGTCTGTCTGAGTGATAATTTGTAAATAACCAATGCATCCACAGAACACAATCAGCATTAGCTATATTCAACGGCCATTGCACCTGCATGTCACACCACACTTGTCGAGCCAAATAAAAGTCTCTAATAACATGTATCCCCGATTCAATCTCTAATCCACAGACTGGACATAATGGGTCATTAATGAGACGTTTTTCAAAAAGATTTTGCCGAGAAGGGATAAAATTTTGGGCGAACTTCCACATTTGCAATTTTATTTTCCATTGACACGTACTGGCCCAGATGCTACGAAACACAACTATCTCTGTATCAGAGACATTTACTTCTGGCAACAGCAATCTGTAGGCACTCCGAACCGTGAACTGCCCCGTTCGCTCTGCGCACCAGACCCGACAATCATCGATTAGATATTTTGTAAGGGGGAAACTAAGAATTTGCAAAACCTCGTTCTCAACAAACACCGATCGAATTAATTCTTCCTTCCATTCCATTGACATTGGATCAATTAAGTCCGCCACATAATTAATCTCCGGATTAATCGGAGATTCAATATGCCTTGGTCTTCTGTTTGGAAGCCAGAAATCATTCCAAACCGAGATGGAATTACCTCAGCACACTCTCCACCTCAGACCCTCTCGCACTCCATATGCTCCTCCAGACATAAGACGGATTCGAACCCAAGTTTGCATTCAAAAAGTCTCCACTCGGAAAATATTTAGCTTTTAGCAGCCTTGCCTTTAAGGAGCTCGGATTGTTCAACATTCTCCACCCTTGCTTGGCTAACAGAGCCACATTAAAGTTCGACATATCTCGAAATCCCAAACCCCCCATCGTTTCTTCTCGGTATAAAATAATTAAATATTTCCTTCTTTCCTTTCTTAAAATTCAAATAATGTTTTTATTGTTATTTATGCATTTAAATTTGGAATTAATAATGAATTGATGGAATTGTAATATTTCTTTATTTCGATTGAGTAAGAATTACTTGTAATATTTCTTTATTTCGATTGGAGTAATAATTACTTAGCCAATTAATTAGTTGTCTTTGTAATGAAATTTACGAATTCGAGTTTAATTTAAGATCTTATACAAAATATTTTTAAATTTTAAGACGAAACACAATAATATATAATTATTTTCTATCGAGAAGAATCGACCCCATTTGATCCTTTGGCCTGCAAAGAGTCTTCCACAGACAACAGTGAATCCCCTTCCCACTCTTACAATTACTCTACAAAAACCGAGCCATGATACGTTCAAATTCAATGCACAAGCTCTTAGGAAGTAAAATGCAATACATAGCATAAAGGGGTAATGCTCGAAGAACAGCTTTAATAAAAACTTCCTTACCTCCCTGAGATAACACCTTAACGCTCCAAGAGCTAATACGTGCATTAAATCTGTCCCGAATATGACATTACAAGAGTAGTTAGTTTTATAAAATATATAAAGAGAATATAAAAAATCATAATCTCAACAAAAAAAAAGTTCACAAAGAACACTATAATCTAATCATATTAACCATTCATTTCCCTTAAACCCATCAAAAAACATAAACTAGCCATTAAATAATGAAAATAGGCCATACAAGAAAGGGGTTGCAAACTCGATCAAATAACTCATAAAAATAGAAAATACTAATAAATATAATTGTCGATGGTGATAAATAAACACTATAAATACTAACATAAAAATGAATATAATGATGACTATACGCAGACAAATATATTTATCATAACTCAAGTACGACTTATCTAAGGTGATATCAAATCAATAAGATAATAAAATAAACATGAATGGGAGAGATGATATCAAATCCAACTCATAAAAGGTGAAAAAGAACATGTTTCTTTTATTAATCTGATAAATATAATGTAATATTTGTTCAAAGATTAACTATTAACCATTTCACATTGAATGCTCACATCCCTAACATTAATGATGTTCGGACCCGAAATCTCAAGGAATAACAACAATTCTTTTATCACTGAAGTCGCTTGGTTCGTGTTAAAAAAATTCAAAATATCAATTTTTTCATTAGAAAGAAACTTACTAAACAAAATAATACAAATAAATCAAACATAAAACAAAAGAAAAAAGAGAAAATAGATGAAAGCACGACAATTGTTAAAACAAAACAGGTAAAAGTAAGAAAAAAAAAACCCTAAAAAATTGTTAAACATCATAAGAGTTAAAATTCAAAAATAACAATCTTTTAAATAGATAGTATATATTTTTAAAGAAATTTATTATTTATCAGGTCTAGTATTTTTGTTTTAACTTCTAAATCACTAACATTTTTGTTCTTCTCAAGGTGCAATTACAACAAGCAATAGATGTTCATACCGATAATTTAATCAATGTAATATCCAAACATGGGTGTAAGCCACGTAGAAGATTGTAAGACTAATAGACTCCTAAAAAATACATTAATTTGTATAAATTTCCAATTTTAATCTTATAAATATATAATAAAAATACGTAGTTTTGAAATTTATTAATTGATCGAGTGATTAATGATGTTTATATTGTCTCATCTTGTGTGGATTAAAATCTTGATATTTATTTTAGAATGTGATCTCTATCTACTTAATAAAAAAAAATGACATAATGCAATAAAATAATCCTAATGTTTGACAATATTATCAAATTTACCCGTATTTTTCTTAGAACATTTAACCCCCAAACATTTCATTTTGAATCAAAACACCCTCATTAGATGAAAATTGTTAGTCAACTGATAGTCAACACCAAACAAATACACATATACCCATATACTGACATGACATGCCCATGTTATGATAGATGATGACATGGCACTATCACTTCAGACTTTTTAAATAAAAATTAAAATATTATTTTTAATATTTATATAATTTTATTTTTTTTGTCCAATAAGATGATGACATATGTCATCACCATATTGAACAAAAAATAAACTAAGCAAAACATGCTTTTGTGAGGAGTTAAATCGTTGTCATGCTTGAAATCCCAACACCTAGCCACCAGACCAAATCTTGCATTTGTTTACTTTTTACAACACAAAATATTTACCATATATGTTCTGCCTCTCACACATTTTATCAAAGACCTTATTCATCTCCTCTTCACATATAATTTCTTCTTCCTTTTATGAACCAAGAACCAAAATATACATATAAAATCAAACGATCTTATCTTGAAGAAAAAAAACATCAACATAAACTTGTCTACTGAAAGAATCTACAAAAAAAAAAATCAGAAACATTACTTAGGGATGTCATTAACTTATCAATCGAAGTCAGTGGCACATCCATAAATTTAAGAATGAGTGTCCAAAATTTTAATTTTCTTTTCTTAAAAATATTGGGAATGCAAAAAATATAATTTTTTCCTTTACACATTAAGTTAAATTTAACCACTTTTCCAAAATAATAAGGATTCACTTGGCCCTTTGTGCTACCACTGATTAAAGTACATGACTAAGCCTTGTCGATGTTCTTCTTTATCTGTTGATTGTCGGTATTAGGGTTTTGCTTATGAACATATTAAATTCTCTAATAAGGAGTCCAAGTCAATATCTCCCTCCTTAAAACAACTACATATTGATTGTTCGTATCCTTTTTCAGTTGGAGCTCCCCGAGTACTCTGCCAATCACTCTTGTTTAACTTTCCCCATCATCTGATCAAAATCCATGAAATTAATCACAATGTGTCAATGAATCAAACAGGTAAGCATGGGTTTTATTATGTAAAAACATTTTAATTAATCGTTAATCGATGAATTAAACATAGAAGAAGCTAAAAAGTAAAAGAGGGGAAAGGGTGGTCACAAGGGACTCGGGCGGGCGTTATGGTAGAGCTGGGTTTCTAGCTGAGGGTTGT